AAAAAAAAAAAAAAAAAAAAAAAATCTGAGTAAGTAAAAGGTCTCACATAGCATTTAAAAATTCAAAGGTGCAGTACTTAATGGGTATACATACTACTAAAACATCAAAGGGTTAATTTTTATTGTTGTTATAGACAGGATATATCCTGGGAGCTGTTGCATTCCATCACAGAGGAATCATATCTAAAAGCCAAAGCTTTTGTAAGGCAGAAACACTGTCTTACATATCAGATAGCAAAACAGACTTTGCATTAAGATGCCAAACAAAAAAGAGTCCTTGCCCAGTTCATTAATGGAGCTAGTTTAATAAGTTACATAGCTTTATGGTGTTGGGCTAAACCACAAATTAAAATTGACCCTTGACACAAGGATATTTCAGGTTTTAATGCTGACACTGTGATACTTCAGGTTTTAATGCTGCCTATATTGGTGACAGAGCCTTAGAAAAACTTGCAAAACCTGTCAATACTACAATGTAGATTACAGATATGAGGCAAAAATGGCAACTGTGGCAGGTAAGGATTTATCTGGATAATAAACCTGTCATCTGACTTGTTAGATATATTTATTAAAAGAGTAATTCTAAATGCTAAGGAAGATTAAGGGCAGAAGGATATTTCTTTTAACCCAAGTAGATTTTGTTGGGTAGAATATGACAAGGCATTGATGATTCTGATATATACTTCCTCCTATGGAAAACTACTGTTTTAAAGGAAGTAAGAATGGTACGGAGAAACACTTTACTTTCCGATTTTCTCAATCTTTAATTTCCTGAGTAAAATTATATAGGTAAAAGATTCTAATGACATATGGAAATATTTGAAAATGTGGTAGTGAAGAGCATAAACCCATGGAATCCAACTATTTTGCTTGAATTCTCACTGTTTAACTTCTTAGGTGACTGTGAGCATTTTAACTAACCTAGCTGTGCCTCAGCTCCCTCATCTGTAGAATGGAAATAATGCCACCTACCTTATAAGGATGCTTTGAGTATAAAATAAGAGCCAGTTATGGTGCTTAGCACAATGATTAGTATATAATAAATCTAAATAATCATTGGGCTTTATTTATTTACTTACATATTATGCCCAAGAATTAAAAAAAAAAAATTAACCACCCAGAGAAACGCACACTAAGTCCCCTTTTAGAGACTGAGGCTAGAGACATCACTTTTTAAGTATTCCTATCCCTCTTCCCTCATTATAGGCTCCAATAACACATTAAAACATGGAATTTTAAAAACTAAGTGACTACACACTACAAATAACTCATGAATCTCCTTTTTTGATTTCTTAAATTTCACTTTTTACTTTATTACCATCTCATTATTTTTATTTAATTCTATTAAAACTATCAAAAATGGATAATTAAGCAGGTGCAGTGGCTCAAACCTGTGATCCTAGCACTTAGGGAGGCTGAGGCAGGAGGACTGCTTGAGGCCAGGAGTTCCAGACTAGTCTGAGAAAGATACAGGGACTTCGCCTCTACCTAAAATAGAAAAATGAACTGACATAGTGGTGTGCGCCTGTAGTCTTAGCTACTTGGGAGACTAAGGCAGGAGGATCACCTGAGCCCAAGAGTTAGAGGTTGCAGTGAGCTATGATCAAGCTACTGCACTCCAGCCTGGGCAAGACCCTGTCTCTCAAAAAAAAAAAAAAGGATAATTCATTCATCAGCTTCCACTTATAGCCCTTTGCTTACCAACATATGGTCCACTGGCACAGAACTTCTTTTGGGACAACCTCAATAATCTGTCATCTTCTACCTAAGAAGCAAAACAAGGCTATAATAGTATCAACACTTTCTTTTTTAACTTCAGAATACTATGGGGTACAAGTGTTTTGGTTACCTGAATTACTTTTGTACACTTTGAGTCAAAGTTATAAATGTGTCCATTACCCAGATAGTGTGTATTGTATCTGTTAGGTATGAATTTACCCATCCCCTTGTCCCCCCAACATTTTTTTTTAAGGGAGGAGGACAACATTTCTGTGACAACGTAGATAGAAGAACCAGTACAACCAAATGTGCAATGGTGATGAAGGTGATGATACTACAGAATGGGAGGTAAGTCACTATTTTTCATTTAGGCCTCAACAACACTCTCAATAAAAGGCCAAGTTCCATGTAAAATATCCCCACTCATAAGAGACGTGTATCTAGATGAGAATAGACTCCTAAAACTTTAAAGTATTAAAGTTTTCAAAGGTATACACAACAATAAATAATACTACATCAAGTTTTATTAATCTGTATAGAGAAAGGTTATGTCTTTAGTCTTTTTCACTTCTAAGAATTGGCAACATTAAATTAGCACGTAGATTCAATACTGACATGCTTGATAAACATGAAAGAATTCAAATTTTAGAACACTTGATAAACATGAAAGAAGCATATATCTTGTTTCAATGGATAAACTGCAATGAAACACAAAAAGTGGAAGAAAAACTACAAATTATTGGAAAGCCAGGAGCAACAATGGCAAGTATATGTTTAAAAAATACTTCAACAATATGCAGTCATTTGTTTCCCTTATCATTAGCTATTATACCCTAGAAGATTTCAAATAACACAAGATATAACAGATTTAAGATCACCTAAATCAAATGTAAAATTGGGCCAATGACCTTCATGGATAAACTGACTGCAAGACACAGAACTAAAAAACTAAGGAAAAATTTATTCGAGAAAGCAATAAAGCAATGGTCACTTTTATGTCATAAGCAAACTATTAATGAACTTCAACACTATATACTGATTAGTTATACATCACACAGATTTCCTTGAAAAAGCTGAAAGCTGACTTTTAAACTGATTCAGAATTATAGCAAAAATATTTAAATTTAGGGACTATAAAGCGAGAAACAGATCATAATCAAGATATTTTAAGTTACAGAGCTCTCTTATTCTTAAAAGAATTAAGAGTCATAATGGTAAGGTAAAATGGAGGATGAGTTTGGCTGTGCCCATTGACAGAAAACAACAAAACAAAGAAAGCAAGACCCTGACAGTAACTAGATGGAAAAGTTAAGTGAGTTTCAATAACACTGGGAAGGAGTGTGGTATTAATGTCCTCTGTTTTAACTAATAAACTATTATGCTCTTAAAAGTGTGCTCTGCTTGAAGAAAAAAATGGTTTATAAGTTGGCTTTATGTGTAATCATTAAATAGCTTAATAGTTTTGGGCAATGAAATCCCCAGAGATGAAGGAATGATCATCTTTGTGTGCTAATATTCTTATTAAGTCAGGTAAAGGCCAGGCATGGTGGCTCATGCCTGTAACCTTAGCACTCTGGGAGGCCAAGGCAGGAGGATCGCTTGAGGTCATGAGTTGGAGACCAGCCTGAGCAAGAGCGAGACCCCATTTCTACTAAAAATAGAAAAATTAGCCAGGTGTGGTGGCACATGCCTACAGTCCCAGCTATTCAGAGGCTGAGGCAGGACGATCACTTGAGCCCAGGAGTTTGAGGTTGCTGTGAGCTAGGCTGATGCCATGGTACTCTAGCCCAGGTAACAGAG